ATGACGCTTTACAGCTCTGGGGGATCATCGCCCGGTGGGTGACGGTGGGAGCGGAGGGGGAGAGTGGGGAGAGGGGGCTCCCACCTGACTTCAGCATGGGCCCAAACCCCACGTGGAAGCAAGAAGGGCCGGACAGGAGGGGCAGGAACTCAGTCCTGGGCAGAGAAGGAAGAGTCAGGAGGCAGCAGGGAGGGTCTGAAGCCGGGGAGACCGAGACAGGAAGTGCGGGGAGGTGAAGCCGACGGTGGCTAAACCACAGGGTCCCAGGGCCTGGATGGGGTCAGGGGAGTTTGTCAGGAAGAACACCTTTCAGCCATGGGGCCAAAATTCATTTAAAAAAAACTTAAAATGTTTCCTTCCTTTCTAAACCCATGTTTTGAAAGAGCTAAGGGATGTCCCCAAAGACAAGTCTTGTAAAATCTGTCCCCAGACACAGCGGGAGTCACCTGGGCCCAGGCCGCCGGAAAGCAGTCGAGGCTCTTCTCGTGGGAAGCTCACCTCCCTTCTTCCCCGGGCAGGTACGTGGAAGGCATCGTCCACCTCTTCTACCACAGGGACGACGTTGTGAGAGGGGACCCGGAGCTGCAGGCCTGGTGTCGGGAGATCACCGAGGTGGGGCTGTGCCAGGCGCAGGACCGAGGTAGGACCCTTCCCCAGGGATGGGGGCCGTTGGGCCGCTCTGCCCCTCTCGGTTCAGGACCCCAACCCCGCATCCCACCTCCCTCTCCAGCCACGTGTATAGCATCTCATTCCCATTCCCACCTGCTAAGACCACTTCTAGACACACCCAGGGGCTGTCCTCCTCAGAGACCCTGGCCATCACCCTCTACTGCCATCCCCAAGCCCCAGGCACATAGTGGGGCCCAAGCATGGGGCCCCATAAGACCAGAACCACAGCCAGGGCGGGATCTGCCCAGGCCCTGCTGGGGCTCCTGTTCTCCTCCTGGTTGTCTGTTTTCTCACATGAGGATAGAGATACATGGGAAGAGCTTCCAGCAAGGGCCATGATGTCCCACACTGCTTTCCCTCCCTGCCTCTCCCACCTGCCACTGTCCAGCACACACACATGTCCAGGGAGCACAGCGCATGTCCCACACTGCCCTAGTCCCATCCTCTCCCATCCCAACTTAGTACTGTACAGGTTCATGCCAACTGGGACCCCGCGCACGGCCCCTTGGGGCCACATTTCTGGGGCCAGTCCAGTTCCCCCTCCCCTCGGCTAGGATCTGGCTAGACCTGGGGCACCCCAACCTGCATTTTAACCTCTGGGGGAAGGAACAGCCTTTCTCGAGCTCTTGCTAGGTTCGTCCTCCCCTCTCTAGCACACATGGGCCTGCGGGGGCTGCTTTAGATCATTCTTGGGGTACATGCCAGCACCTCTGGCTCTCTGGGACAACTCCAGATGTTTACTGGGGAGAGCCAGGCCCCAGGGATGCGGCCAACACTCACATTCACCCTTCCGGGCCCAAACTTTGTCTTGGACACCTCAGAACTGTCTCTCAGATCCCCCAGGCCCCTGGAAGACCCTTCCTCTCTCTCCCTGCTCAGCTTCTCCCCAACCACTCTCTACATTGGGAAAACAAAAATAAACATTCACGTGTCAGCTTTAATCTCCACCAACTGCCTCTCATCCTCTCTTCCTCCGCTCGCCTCGGTTCTCATCACACACTTTGCCTAATTTTCCCAACAGCCTTTTTAGAGGAAGTGTGCTAAAATTAAAAACAGCTTGAGAGCAGCAGTCAGGAACCCGAGTTCAAGGTCAGCCTCTGCCTCTTCCGGACCATGTGATCCTGACAAGTAGTTCTCTCTCTTTGGTCTTTGATTTTTTTTTTAATTGATAGAAAGGGAGTGATTATATTTGTTCCACTTAACGCATAGGCTTAGTGGCTCTAAGTCACCATCTCCACTGTAGAATCAGTGGCCTGAGATAACCTTTGTGGAAAGCCTCTCTTGGCCGTGACACTATAAATACACGACTTCTTCTGTTCCTCCCTTTATAACTCAGGCATTTACAACTCTCTATTGGGGAACAGGAGGAAAAGTCCCTAAATTCCTAACCACTTTTTGAGGCAGAAGATATTCAAGCACTCAGCGTTTTTCAGACCCAATAATAACAATTCCCTAATAATTCCATAATAACAATAATCATTATTTACCGAGCCTTTGTCACATATGAGGTGATTTCAATATGTTATCACCCACATTTTATAAGTGAAAAAATGGAAATTCAGAGAGATTAAGTAATCAGCCTAAGACACCCAGATTATATTGCTTGAACCTGAAGTGAAACTTAGGTCTAATGCCAATGTATTTGAATAAATAAATGAATAGACACCCATCAAAGCCAAAATACAGTGGACCCTCAAATGGGGTGGGGGGGGTAGGGACGCTGACCCTCCCCCATATACACCGAGCAGTCAAAAATCTGCCTATAACTTTTGACTCCTGAAAAACTTAACTACTAAGAGTCTACTGTTGACTGGAAGCCTTCCCAATGACATAAAGAGTCAATTTACCCCATCCTGTGTGCCGTATGCGTTGTACGCTATATTCTGACAGTAAAGCGAACTAGAAAAGAGAAAACATGAAGAAAACCATACAAAGGAGTAAATACATGTCTGTACCCACTATAAAAAAGCCACACCTAAACGGACCCACGCAGTTCGAGCACGACTAGTGTAGACACCCCCAAGACGACCACCTGCATTTCTCTCCTCTCGCACTGGAGCCCCTAAATCCTGTTCCTCTCTGGCAGGTTTCCCCGTCTCCTTCCAGTCCCAGAAGCAACTCTGCCATTTCCTTACCATGTGTGTCTTCACATGCACTGCTCAGCACGGGGCCATCAACCAGGGCCAGGTATGAGAGCCGAAAGCCCAGGTCCCTGAAGGCAGGCGTCTGGACCTTGGGATTCCTAAGGGAGAGACAGGGGTTCAAAGCATAAGTCTCAGGATCCTAGGGTTGCAGTTTCTTCCCCCAGCTGGACTGGTATGCCTGGGTCCCTAACGCCCCATGCACAATGCGGATGCCCCCGCCCACCTCCAAGGAAGAAATAACAATGGCCACGGTGATGGCTTCACTACCTGATATCAGACAGGCCTGTCTTCAAATGACCATCACGTGGCATCTGGGTCGCCGCCAGCCAGACATGGTAAGAGGGGACTCTGGGAAAGGGAAATGACAGTTGGAAGGGAAACATCGGAACAGAGGCTAGGCCCTCCGTGCTTCTGCCTCTAGACTGGAAACTGATGCATCCTTTGTCCTTTCCTAGGTGCCTCTGGGGCATCACAAAGAAAAGTATTTCTCAAGTCCCAAGGCCAAGGCGGTATTAAACCAATTCCAAACAGATTTGGAAAACCTAGAGAGAGAGATCACAGCCCGGAATGCGCGACTTGACCTGCCGTATGACTACCTGAAACCCAGCCGCATAGAGAACAGCGTCACTATCTGAGGCCTGTGGCATCCCCACCTCCAAGACTTCAAATCAGCTCCAGGACTAATATTTCCAGTTTGAATGTCATGGTTTCCAGAGTCTCTGAGGCTAAAGCTCTATTTTCTCCCCCAACCAAATCCCCAACGTCGGTATCCCCTCCGTCCAGGGAGGGCAACAAACCTTTTCTGTAAAGGCCAGACGATAAATATTTTAGGCTTTGTAAGGCTGCGTCATCTCTGTCCCAACTACTTAGCTTTCCCGATAGAGCACAGAAGCAGCCACCAGATGATAAGGAAGGAGTGTGACCGTGTCCCCATAAAAAATTACTTAAGAACAGTGAAATATGTCACAAAATTCTCTTCTTCCTTTGGTTGGCTCCACCGTTTAAATATGCAAAGAGGATCTGTGCTTTGCGAATGGGACAGGCACAGGCTGTGGGCTGGATCTGACCCTCGGGGGCCATCCTCACACCAGGTAACCCCGCATTAGCCTGAGGCACTGACCCTACTTGCCAAACAGCCAGAGGATGCTCTGAGGGGGGATGGGGAAGATTTCCTGCATAAATCAACTACCTCAACTAATTCTCCTTTCCCAGGAGCTAGATCCCCTACACCGGTGGCCAAACTAAACCTTTATGACTCTGTGCTTTGATAACATTCCCTCCACCCTGTTCCCCCTCTTCACGCGCCGACCCCAAAAGTCCTCCAGTAAGAATGGTGTTCCTGGGGAGAAGAAAAACCTGCCATTCCTGGATGGCTCCCTGCCCCCCTGGCAGCCTCGAGCTAAGAAGACCTGAGATTCCTGTCCCAGGGCCCCATTTCCCAGCTCCTGCAATAGTATTCCCAAGTCTGTCTGTGTTTCCCTGGGTCTGAGTTCTCTGTCACAAGCTGTTTAAGAACAATAAGCATAAAATAAATGGGAAAAAGTGTTACAGAGTCATGTCCACTGCTGACCAGTGTGTCTTTGTGTGGTTCTGGGGTCTTGGGATCCAAATGACCCCTCTCGATTATGCTGCAATCGCTGTCCTCACTAGAATGTGTACAGACAGCTCAGTGCAGAACTGAATTCTTCCAACGCCCGATTTCCCTAAATGACCATCACAAAGCTGCCTCTCACCGCTGAAGCATACAAACTTTTTTCCCCCCAGAGGGTGACCTATTCATGTTTTTAAAAACCGTGTACCCTCCCTTATCCAAAGGACCTAGGGTCAGTCTCCTTGGTGTACACGGGGAGGCAAAGCGACACCGTTGCGTCCTCACTCCTCTGTCCAACACGGCCGGCAGGACGGCTCTCCCTCACCACCGGTTCTCTGGCTCTGCTCCCCTCGCACTCTTCCGAGCGCCCGCATTCTTCTGGACTCGGCCTCCAAGACCATGCAGCATGCTGTGCTCGGGAACAAAATGGCACTTCGTGGGGCACCCCCGGGGCGAGGGACCCGCGGCCACTTGAAGGCGTCCTGGCCACGGCGGTCCTCGGGAAGGGGCTCCTAACCCCCACTCCCTGTCGGTACAGCTCTGCGCCAAGGCGGGGTGAGAAGACAGGAGACAGGGGCGTTCTTTCTCGCTGTCAGTCTCCGTGTCTCACTTACCACAACCCCGTCCAGGGCAGCACCCGAAACTAAGGCATCTGCGGGCAAAACCGGCGAGCTGCAAGCCTCCGCACCCAGCAGCCCATCGCCAGGGTAACCAGGCCGCCGAGCCCCTCCCTCCCCACGCCGGGCGCCTGCGGGCTCCTCGTCACGTGACTTGCCTGGTTGGTCACGTGGTGCGCCGGGTCCTCCCATTCCAGCCTGAAAGGGGGGGACCAGAAACGGGAGGCGTTGCTGCTGCAACACTGCGCCCCGGTTACAAGGGTCCTAAGGGGCTTCTGAGGGGCTGCTTCGGCCTCACACACCGCCTGCCCCTTCCGGAGATCAGGGAGGGCCTGGAGGCGCCCCGCGATCCCCGGCGGACCCCCCGGCGCGATGGTTGGGGCCTGAGGCCACGCCCCCTTGGCGGCGCTCCCGGCGGCCCGTCCTCCACGGCGCGAGTCCGGGTCCAGCTTGCTCTCCCCGGGCGCATCTGGGCCTTCCTCTCGCCGCCTTCCCGCTCCGCCCGCAGCTAGGCGATCCCCGACCCCCTTCTTCATGGCGTCGCTTCTGTGCTGTGGGCCCAAGCTGGCCGCCTGCGGCATCGTCCTCAGCGCCTGGGGGGTGATCATGTTGGTGAGGGACCGCCCGGCGACGGCCGGACAGGGCCCGAGGGGCCCCGGTGTTGGAGGGCTGTGAGGCTGGGGGACTTCGGGCCTTAGAAGGCAGCAGGCAGGCCGGAGGGAGTGGTCGATGCGCCGTTGGAGAAGGAGACAGCTGAGATAGAGAAATGGGGAACTCGAGCGGGTCGGGGGTGGGGGGAGCCCTCGAGGTAAGAGGGAGAGGAGCTGGGCCCTTGAGAGATGCCTGCGCTGAGCGGAGGGCAGTGGGGAGGGGGAGCGCTGCTTCCCGAAATGGGCAGCTGCGGCCTTGTTTCCCCGGGGTGACCCGCCCCGCTCCGGGAAGAAATAGTACGTGATTTCCCCGACCCCCTCCTCCTTGTCCCGTGACAACGACGCCTCTGGAGAGGAGGACAGTCTGGCTTGCTCACTGTTCTGCCCTTGCACTGCCCCAGTCGTCTCTCCCGGCTCCCACCCCAGTCCTGGTGACGGAGTCCGAGCCCCGCAGCGGCCAGCCCAGTCCCAGCGCGTTCCGGTGGCTCCCAGACCCGGGCGTTGTGGCAACATTAGAAGTGGGAGGGGCTTGGAGAGCGACCCGGTTGGGGGCCGGGGCCAGGGAACCCGTCCGCTGCCTCTTTGCAGATCATGCTCGGAATCTTTTTCAATGTCCATTCGGCCGTGCTGATCGAAGACGTCCCTTTCACCGAGAAAGATTTTGAGTAAGTAGTCAGGTGGCAGAGGCGGGCCGGGGGCAGGGGGAGAGGCGAGTCGTAGGCGGGAGCTGCTGGTGGCGGGGTGCCTGGGCCCCGAGGCTGGAGAACTGAGCTTTTCGCCTTAGCGCGCTCGGAGTCGGGCCCCGCGGCCCTCCGCAGCCCAGGTGCGGCTGCTTCGGTATTTTACTCGACTGCCCTGGGCCGCAGTCCCCCTCCCGCCAGGAGCTCGCGATCCTGAAACTCGCCCCAGAGGGTTGGAGGAAGCTTGAGTAACGCGAGTAAAAGCGCTAAGGCGGAGCCCGGCGCCCGGGAAAGGCCGGCCGCCGCGAGTGCTGCTGACCATTGTCTACCCCATGCCCGCCGCAGGAAGGACCCCCAGAAGATATATGACCTGTACGAGCGAGTCAGCTACAACTGCTTCATCGCCGCGGGCCTCTACCTCCTGCTCGGAGGCTTCTCTTTCTGCCAAGTCCGGCTCAACAAGCGCAAGGAGTACATGGTGCGCTAGCGCTCCGCCGGCCCCCCGTCCGCCCCCCTCTAGTTAACTAAAGACTCTCCCCAGGGGCCAGCGTCCGGGCCCCGCGCGGGGAGGCTGGGGTCGGCCGTCCTCGGTCCCTCCACAATAAAGCGGAACTGCCCTCCTGAGCCGTGTGTCTGTGCTTGGGGCCGGACCGGGGCGGGCGCGGGGCGGGCGTGGGGGCGGGAGGGCGGCCGCGCGCCGCGAGCCTACCCGCCGGCGGAAGTGGAGGGAAGCCGGGCCGGAAGTGAGGCGGTGTCCGGCCCTCGGGCCTCGCTCGGCGGGCGCCGCCGGAGCCACCGCGGCTGGCGAGGCGGGGAGCGGCCGCCGGGGAGCCAATCGGCCGTGGGGAGGGGCGGGACTTCCTGCGCGGGGGGCCCCAGCGGCTCGGTTGCCCGGCTCCGTGGTCCCCGGCTCGGCGGCGGCGGCGGCGGCGGCGGCGGCGGCGGCGGCGGCGTCTCCTCCGTGGGGAGGCGCGCGGGGCCATGACGTCAGCGTCCACCAAGGTTCGGCCTCGCTCGCGGACAGCGCTCCCTGGCGGCCGCGGGCGGGCGGACCCATCCCCCTGCCGGCGGCGCCGGCTCTTCCGCCTGGAGCGGGGGGCGGGGGCCGGGCGGGAGCCGCGCTGGGGTGGGGCCAGGGGCTCCGGGCGGGACGGCGCGGGGTGTGCGCGGCCCCCCGTGACGCCGCCCCGCCCCCAGGTCGGAGAGATCTTCTCGGCGGCGGGCGCCGCCTTCACGAAGCTCGGGGAGCTGACGATGCAGCTGCATCCCGTGGCCGACTCTTCCCCCGCGGGGTACGTGAGCCGGGCGGGCGCGCCGACTCGGCCACCGGCGCGGACGCTCTGGGCAGGGACAGGTGGCGGAGTGCCCTGCGCCGGGCACCGCGCTGAGCGGGCGCGGAGACGCGTGGGTCGCGGGAGGCAAGGCGGGTGCCCCCGCAGCCTGCGGCTCCCGACCCGGGCCCTGCGGGCTGACCTGAGCGCCGCTCGCTGCGATCGCGGTTCTGAGAGCCCCGCGGGTGGGGTTGCTTCCAGCGGGCCCCTCACGGCCGCGGCCGCCCGGGGCTCGGGCACAGGCAGGCTTTCTTCGATCGTGGCTGTCGGGACAGGTGTGGTTGGGGTCCTCAGGATGCCCACAAGGCGTTAAGGGGGAGGAAACCCTCTTTAGGGACCCACGGAAGGGACCCCAGGGACTGGGGGGAGGAGGCTGGCGGCTGTGGAATGCACAGCCTGTGGGCTGGCTGCACACCCCCCTCTTCCCACTTTCCTGTCCCCTTCTCCCCCCTGACAGTGCCAAGTGGACGGAGACGGAGATAGAGATGCTGAGGGCTGCCGTGAAGCGGTTTGGGGACGATCTTAATCACATCAGCTGTGTCATCAAGGAACGGACAGTGTGAGGGAGGGTGGCCGGCAGAGGAAGGGGGGTGGGCACCGTGTCTTCCTGCACACCCGCGGTCCATCTTCCTGCGAACCCCCTTCCAGCTTAACGGCCTTTCCTGCCTCGCTGCTAGCTGTGTTAGCGCGAGCTCGAAGACTGAGAATAAAAGAGTGGGTCAGAAGTTACTGAAATGCTGTCCTAATCAGGACCTTCCGAGAGTTTTATTTCGGGTTGCCTGAGATGCCCAGCCCCCAAGTTCGGTGATGGGAGTCCCCTGGCGGTTTACACAGCTCCTTCGAGCTGCTGCTGCGGTGTTTCTGGGGGTGCCATGACACTGAACTAACTGATTGGAGTCTACTCCTAAGTCTCGGTCTGCCTGCCGGTCACCAGAGCTCACCTGGTAGCTTTGCGCGCCCGCACATCTGTCCCACAAGAGAAGTAGGACGCGGGCCTTCCCCACTGCACGGTTGAGGTGGTCCACTCTTCACATCCCATCTGCCCCAAGTGTGTGCGAAGCTTCAGGAGAACACGAGAACCCTACCAATGGCTGGCGCCCTAACCTCAGTGCTCACGAAGGGCTCCCCAGTATTCCTTCACAGTGGCCCGTCAGCCCTGCCCTTCCCCTCTCTTCTTCCCTCCCGTGCTCTGATGACTCCCTAACCTGCTCTCTTCTCTTCAGGGCCCAGATAAAAGCCACCGTGAAGCGAAAGGTATACGAAGACTCTGGCATCCCCCTTCCTGCTGAGTCGCCCAAGAAAGGACCCAAGAAGGTGCCTTCCGGTGTCTTGTCACCTCCTCCAGCTGCCCCTCCGCCAAGCAGCTCCAGTGTCCCTGAGGCCGGGGGTCCCCCCGTAAAGAAACAGAAGGCCGGTGAGGGCTGCTGAGTGGCTACCTGGGGGCTCGAGTCCTGTCTGAGGTTCAGGGAAAGAATCGGGTGGGTCAGAGAAGGACCCATCTCTCTTCCTTTCCCTGTCAGGGTTCCCTGAGAGTGGCTCAGGTGGCCGAGGGAGTGGGAGCTGGGGGGCAGTCAGAGAACCTAGAACCTAGCTTATGCCGTGCCCCCCCCCCTCCCCAGATGTGACACTCAGTGCTCTGAACGACTCGGATGCCAACAGCGACCTGGTGGATATTGAAGGGCTGGGAGAAACTCCTCCAGCCAAGAAACTCAACTTCGACCAGGGTAGGAGTCCTCCTCCTCCCACTCCCACACCAGCTGGAGGCGTGGGGGATGGACTCCGCAGGAGCCCCCTCCCCCGGTACAGAGGCTTGGGAAGAGCAGGTTCCCTGGTACCCTGTGCAGGGTCAGCAAGGAGCCAGGGGCTCGGGGGAGGTGGGAGTGGTCTTGGAAGCCAGTGCTGGGTGGGGGGGGGGTGGTCTTGGAAGCGTACTTGGGGCTCGCTCCATCTCGGCCCATTTTGCTTCCTGTTCCAGACAGCCTGACCCTGGATTCTGGCCTTCTCATGACCTCTGCTGACCCTCCTCTACTCTCTCGCTGAGCCTCCCACCTCTGACCCCTCTCACTGTTCCCCCTGGACCTGTGGATCGCCCGGGACTCTGAGCAAGCCTGCACGAGAGGGACGGTCACAAGGCTGCTGGGGCCATACCGGCCATGCCGTTCCTGTACGCGCATCTGCCCCCGAACCCCTCTGACCTCCACCTGATGGACTTTTTTATACAGAAAACAATAAAGATTGCCCTTTCCGCCTGGTGCCTGTAGCGTCACGTGATTGGGGCACGGTGGGCGACAGCCTCCCTCCTGAGGCCCCGGGGCTCGGCCCCTCCTCACAGGTCTCACCACCCTGCCTGGAGCAGCACAGCCCATATTGGCAGACTCTGTGCCCAGTGCCAATATTTCTGTGCTGCTAGAGCCAGGGGAGCTGGGTGTGGGCAACAAAGACTCCAGTCCACTCTCCAGAGGCCGAGCCTAATCCCAGGACCTCTGGCAGTCCGTATTCCTGAGGCCGCCCCAGGGAGTTGAGAGGGGCCATTTCCAGTGCTCCCAGCACCCCCCCGCACCCCCCACCTCACAAGAAGGCCCAGATGTTTTCTGTGTCGCTTCTCCAGGGTGGCCTCCTGGGGCCAGGCCTCGGCGGTGCCTCCCCCACCCTCGCTCTAACACCACAGTGTGGTTTGGACGTGGCCACAGAGCCGTGCAAACCACAGTGTGCTGCTGGGGCGGGAGCAGGACTGGGGTGGCTTGAGAGGAAGGGAGCACAAGATGGTGCTGTGAAGACCCCCACCACCAGGAGCGGGGACCTAGAGAAGGCTCAGAAGGCAAACACGGCCCCAAGAAGGGTTGCAGGGGCAACGAGGAACCGGGGCGAGTTGCTGGCAGGCCACAGGAGGGAGAGGGGCCTAAGGGCTGAGCCCGCCGTGGGATACGACTGGAACCACCTTCCCTCCGTAGCAACTCTGCTCAGGGGACCCCTCGGGTGGGGTCAGAGGCAGAGGAAATGGGATGACTGGGGGGGCCACACGCTGCCTCCCGACTCAGCAAGGGCAGAGACCCAAGGCTTCCTGTGTCCGTTCCTCCCCTCCCTGGGTCAGAACCCAAGAGAAAGCAAGGAGAGACAGAAGGCCAAGGACAGCAGGGTTGGGAGTTGGCAGTCCAGAGGTGGTGGGGCCGGAACATGGTGGGGAGAGGGGGGCCGGAAGTCGCCCTGGGCCCTGGGCCTGCCACAAGATGGAGGCCAAAGGCAGGAAATGGAGGCCAGGGGGAAAGGGGAGCAGCAGGGCCCAGGAAGAGGGCTGTCTGGACCTGGGGGCCAGGTACTCAACCCCCAGCACTGTTCCCACTCCCCACTGCCCCCCAGGGCCCACACCCGACCCCCCGCGACAACCCCCATCAGCCCATCCACCAGGCCCAGGAAGGCGGGCCCACCCCAGAAAGCCACGTTTAAGCTGAGACAAACATGGCTCTCCCCACCCCCACCCTAGGCCTTCCCTCAGCCTTTTCCTCCTGTCCAGGACGTGATTTTTTTAAAAGCACCCCACAGAAAGCAAAATCCAAGGGCCAAAATCCCTTCCACAAATCAAAATAACACCTTCTGCAAACCAAAAGTTTTCCTCCTACCTCCCATGCCGCCCTCTACCACCCCCCTGCCGACACACCCCCCAAAACTCTTAGCAATCAGAAAGATCTAAGATGGTGGGTGTAAGCAGTCTTTTTAGGCCCCGGGGGAACGCCGGACCCCCTCCCTCAAGACCCCTGTCTGTCCTGCCCCAAAGCCTGCCAAGGCCTCCTGCTCCTGACTCCAACCTCCACGGCGCCCCCAAACTCAGCAGCTGCCCCCAGCTCCCAATCTCGGCAGAGCCTTTGTGGGGGTGAGACAGAGATGAAACACTGTGCTAACGGCTGGGGATGTTGGGGGGGCTTCTGGTCTCAGCCTTTGGTTTCTATCTGGGGGACTGCGGTTCGGGGCATAAGGGAAAGCCTCTCCGATCATCCCCCCAGTTCCAAGACTGACAAAGCCCAACCCCACCCCAGCACGCACCTCCAAGCCTCCCCCCCAACCGCCACGTCTCTCCTGAAAACAGGGGACACTTTCCTCCCCACTTACCTCAGCTACTCTCCCCTGAGATCCTGGTCCCCTATTTTGAAGGGAGCAAAATTTGGGGTGCATCCCTCACATTTGGGGTGCAGGAGAAAGGAGCCGCCCCAGTCGCATCGCTGGCCTCCTTCCTCTCGGCTGGCTCAGGGAGTGGGGAGTGCCCTAGGGAGGGGGGACCCCCACAAGAGAGCTCAGAAGGGGGTTCCACAATTCCCAGTCAGAATTGGGGACACCCCCCCAAACCCGTCCCAGCCCATCCGTCTCCAACTCGGCGGGAGAGGCAGCTGCAATGCCCCAGTCAGATTCCCCCAACACTACATTCCTCACCCCATCTAGAGGGGTCCCGGGGGCCCCAAAAAATCCCAAAAAAATCTAGGATGTTGGCAGGACGGTCCTGGACTAGCACCCCAAATTTGGGGTCCTCAGATACCCCCGTTTTTTCAGGAAAATTCCATCTTTCACCTGCCTCCCGCCAGCCCTGCTCTGTCCCGATGCCAATTTTGGAAGTCACTCCCTCCTTCCTCCTCCCCGTCTCTCCAGGCCCCCCCGCTCGGGGGCGAGGGTCCAGGAAACCTGGCTTCCAGACCGGGGGTTACTCCTCGAAGGGCCAGGGGCCAGGAGGTCAAGCTCATAGCCCCAGTCTTAGGGAAGCAGGAAAGCCCGATCCTCCCCTCCCCTCCCCCCTGGCTGGTCTCCGTGGTGGTTTAAGGAAAGCCTGGAGGATTGGAATCTGCCATTGCTGTTGCACAGGCAGGTTTTTTGCCTTGGGTTGGGGGGGTGGGCGGTGGGAGGGAGGGAGGGGAGGAGAGCGAAGAGAGCAGGGACCCAGGCGTGCAGAGCTGGCCTGGCTTACCCCCTCGCCCCTACTGCCGTGGGGCACCCCTCCCCCCACCCACCTCACCCGCATTCCCAGTCCTCCGTCTGCTTTCTGTTTGGGGCTCTTATCCTAGAAACTCAGGGTACAAGAATCACCTCCTCGCACCCCTGCCACCACCTCTCCTTGCCAAAGTTCCAATAGCACTGTCCTAGTCAGGGGTGTTCCCGTTACCACGGGCTACCCCATTCCCCCCCCCCACCTTCCCAGAAAGTGAGGTGTGCTCCCTTAAGAAATTGGGGTTCAGAGTCTGAAACTGCCTTCTCTCCGTCAGATCTATCCAGGTCACATAGAAATAAGAGGAGATACACTAACCTTTCCAAATTTCTCCCTTCAAGTCCTGGGCATAATTGGGGGTTCAGTAAAGAAAGAGACTCCTAGAATCTGGTGTGAGAGGGAGCTAGCTATAGGCAAAGGACATCCCAAACCAGCATCATGCTCCAAATTAAGTGAACCCCCAAATCAGGCTCACCTTACGACCCATCCCTCGGCTTCATCAAATACATCCAAAAAGATACAAAACACCCCCAAATAATGACACCCCAAAACTTTAGTCTCCTACCCTGCACCCTCACCTTGTTTCTCCCCCTGGGAAAAGCTTCGTGGCTATCTATGTATACACAGGCCACTGTGCCTTCAAAGTAAGTTTCCACAACATTCAAGTACAAAGGTCTGTTTCCCCTCAACGACCCACAATCACACACAAGGCCTTCAAACCTGCTCCCAGCTTCCTATTACGTTCCACCTCAAGCTAATAAAAAACTCCAGATTGAATTTCATGTCCCCCCAAATCTAACCCCAGCCTTGAGACGTACATGGCTTCCCAAAACAGACTGTACCCCAAAACCAGCATGACTACTCTACTTGAAATCAGACTGTCCATACACACCAGTGACTATGAATCCGCAACACAAAACCCTCATCGACCTCCTGAAGCACGCCTAGCAGGTTGTCCTGACATTCCAAGATGACAATCTCCAAATTATGGGGGTCAGAGTCCCCAAAACTAACGCAGCTTCAAAATCAGCTCCCTGCCTCAAACGTACCACTGGCGCTCAGGCTCAGGCCTTCTGAGTGCAGCCCCCAGTGCCCAGAACGACCCAACTAACTCAACACCCCATAAAAAACATATACTCCACAGCAGACCAGGTTACCCAAAATCAACTCCATCCTGATACCAAAGGGAGCCCCCAGCCGGACTCCCTCCTCCGGACTCAGCAGAGGACACAGTAACCCTCACATACAAAAGCCACATCGCCGTCCTGAATCCCGAGGGGTCCCGGATTCCCAATTTCTCCGCAGTTCTTTCCTGCACCCAAATAAAGACACCCTCGGGTCAGATAAAGACACCGCCGGCCCGTAGGCAGCTCCATGGATAATGGCCAGTCATTCCCGGGCACCTGTGGACTCTCTTGAACCCAATGCAAGTCCTGCTTTGCAGCTAGAACTCAGCTCTGCACCCCTCCTCCAAAAAAACATTGTGTCCCCCCAACCTCTCCCCAAACAAAATATGAGGGTGGGACCCGTGCCCATCTCCCAGATCAGGGACCTCCAATTAGGGTTATCGGTTATCGGGCCCCTCCTGCCCTCTCTCCCTCCTTTTACCCCCGAGGCCCTCCCTGTTTTTCCTTCTCTCTGTCCACCCCACCCAACCCTCAGATTAATGTTCGCTAAAAATTCACCTCTACCGACAGATAACAGGGTCTAGCTTCATGAGAAAAGAGAACCCTGAGCTCCCAGGTCTCAGACCCCACTCCTGGTCCCACCAGTTCCCTTGCTCCCAGAGCCCGCGGATTTCTCACCCCAGATTAGGAACCCCAGCCTTGGAGGGAAGTCCCCTCTGTCACCTAACTCTCCCTCCCTCCGCCCAGCCTTCGTCCCCCCCACCCCACCCCCCAGGAGACAGAGGGACAAAATCAACCAGCGCAAAGGGGAGGAGGACGAAGGCGTCCGCCTCTGAGACCGAATGGATCCTGCGACCCGGTCCGAGTGGACCCCAGTCGGGTGGAGACGGCGAGGCGAGGCTAGTGCTCGTCCGCCCCCTCGTGGAAGGAGTCGAGCATTGCGGGGGGTTTGCCTACTTGCCGCGCTGGACCGGGGCGTCCCGCCAGCCTCCGAGCGTAGCCGACGGGCGGGTGCCCGAGGCCCTTAGTGAGCTGGGACTGGGGGAGGGCGAGCGGGCTGTGGGCGGGAGTCTGTATCTCTGGATCCCTACAAGGATTCAGAAGGGAGTCGGGAGCGAGAGTCCGGACGCCCAGGTCTCCTGAGCGTCTCTCGGCCCCCACCCGGGGCTTTCCCCACCTCCTCGAGGGGAAGCAGCTGGCGGAGCCGTCCGGTCGCAGGACAATGGAAGGAAACGACTAGAAATCATATCCGTCCCCTTCCCGCCCCGCCCGATCAGAGCCCCCCTTTCTACTGGCCCTGCTAGAGGACCCTGTCATTCGCACCGCGCCCTCCCGCTGTCTGGGACCCCACGCGAGTGCGCCGGGGCCTCTCCAAACCGGGTGCCTCGCTGGGTTCCCCTTTATCTCCCCTGACACCGTCTGTGGGAAGGGGGAATTCTGCTGTATTCACTCTCCAGTTGACAGGCACCCCCCCCCCTTTCAAAAGCCAACACACGGATTTTCGCTGCCCCAGGCCCCTCGACGACCCGGGTCGCCCCTATTTCCAATATCGCTATCCCCAGCCTCCTCCCCAATGCCAGTGTCCCCTCGCCGGTCCCACTTTCAGTGGCCCGAGACCCCTTACGTTACGACCACCCAGGGTTTCTCAGGTCCCGCCCTCGGGCCGGAGACCCCGCCCCGGGCTCGCCATCTGGAGAGCGAGGGAGGAAGGAAGGATACAGACCCAGGCGTTCACCCCACCTCCACCCCCGCCCCCGCCATCCCGGCCAGATAAAGGAGCCGACGCCAGGAGGGGAGCGAGACCCCGCCCCCCCCCAGAAGAGCCGCCGCAGCCCCTGCGGGACGGGGGTAAGAACGACGGACCGAGGGAGCCGGACTCCTGGGTTCCCGAAAAGGGTTGCTGATGGTAGGAAGACTGAGGCCCGGTGCTTGGACTGAACTAGGGGTCCGGGACCAGACAGGAGTGGAATTCCGTGCTTCAGAGAGGGTGCCTGGGTGGGATTTGGAGGAGTGTGGACGCGGGCCGTCCTGGGTTCCCCGGGCAGGTCGGACACCTGAGATTGAGGCGCGCGGTGAGGCCGAGGGCAGCGGGGTGCTGCTGCGGCACGAGCAGTCGAGCCGAGGGCGCCGCAGGCCGGACTCCCCACGCTGGCCGTCGACGCCGCGGCGTGGGAACACCCACCCCGCGCCGGCACCGTGGAGTCTAGCCGGGAGGCGAGCGCCGGTGGGCTGGGGGCGGAAAGCACTAGACGGACCCCAAGAGGCTGCGCGAGCCGGGCGGGGGGCTCGGCCCGGGCTGCACGTCGGCCCGAGGGGAGAACTGCGGAGGGAAGGTGTCTGAGCACCGCCCGGGTCGCTGAGCCCTTTCCCGGGCACCCTCAGGCCTGCGTCGCCATGGGTTCCACCGGCGCCCCGGAGGGCTCGCTGGGCTACGTGCGCGAGTTCACCCGCCACTCCTCCGACGTGCTGGGCAACCTGAACGAGCTGCGCCTGCGCGGGATCCTCACCGACGTCACCCTGCTGGTCGGCGGGCAGCCCCTGCGAGCTCACAAGGCGGTTCTTATCGCCTGCAGGTTCGAGGAGGGTCTCGGGGGGCGTGGGACGGGACCAATGGGAAAGGGGTGGTATCATAAGGTCCTCGGGAGGGGATCTGGGAGGGGATCCGGAGCCAAGCCTTCGGAGAGCAGGAGGCTGAGTGTCGAGTGGAGCGCGTCGGGGAGCTGGGGGGGATGATGGGGAGGAGGTGGGGCTTCCTCGTGCTGCGTGTGTCGGTGGGTTCCCCAGGCCCTGACGTAGCCTATCTGCCTTCTCTGCAGTGGCTTCTTCTATTCGATTTTTCGAGGCCGCGCAGGCGTGGGGGTGGACGTGCTCTCCCTGCCCGGGGGCCCCGAAGCCGGAGGCTTTGCTCCTCTCCTGGATTTCATGTACACGTCACGCCTACGCCTCTCTCCTGCCACTGCACCGGCCGTCCTCGCGGCCGCCACCTACTTACAGATGGAACACGTGGTCCAGGCCTGCCACCGTTTCATCCAGGCCAGGTGAGGGGACCCCCGCTCGGTGTCCTCCGTTGGGTGAGGTGGCATCCCAGGTGTCACGGGTAGAGGCCAAGATCAGGAAAGAGCACTAATATCCATCACACTTTTCCCAGCTATGAACCTCTAGGCATCTCTTTGCGGCCTTTGGAGGCGGAACCCCCGAGGCCCCCAACGGCCCCTCCACCAGGCAGCCCCAGGTGCTCTGAAGGGCATCCAGACCCACCTACTGAGTCTCGCAGCTGCAGTCAAAGGCCCCCCAGCCCAGGCAGCCCAGACCCCAAGGCCTGCAACTGGAAAAAGTACAAGTTCATCGTGCTAAACTCTCAGGCCGCCCAAGCAGGGAGCCTGGTGGGGGAGAGGAGTGCTGGTCGACTGTGCCCCCAAGCCAGGCTCCCCAGTGGCGACGAGGCTTCCAGCAGCAGCGGCAGTGAAGAAGGACCCATTCCCGGTCCCCAGAGCAGGTACAGACCCTGGAACCTCAAGAATTGGCAGAGGCCGGCCTCAGCTGGGAGGCAGGGCCACCAGGCCTGGGTGGTCAGGAGCGGGGAGGGAGGGGGTGGGACTTCCCAGGCACCACCGGTTCTGGCTCACTGGTCAGTGTTGGCTAACCTCCAGAGGGTAAGCCAGCCTCTGGCTCCGAATTCTCCAGGCCAGAACGCCCCCCCACCCACCCAAAAATATCTCTCCTAATCCTTTTCTCTGGGCTTGCCACCTGCCTAGGCTCTCTCCATCTGCTGTCACGGGACACTTCAAATGTGGGGCTCCAGTCAATAGCCCCCACCTCCTCACAGCCCCGACTCAAGAGACCCCTGCATCGCAGTCTGGGCGGGCTTGTCCGCCACCAGGTCAGAGCCCTTCCTTTTACCACTGCCCTTGGCTTTTCTCCTTAGGCTGCTCAAGGCCAGTTCGGGCCAAAAGGAAAGGCCGGTCCCAATTACTGCAAACTGGAATCACCTCGGGAGCTCTTAACAACCCCATTGCCCAAGTCACACCCCACAGATCAGAGTGTCTGGAAGTGGGAGCCAGGAATCAGTATTTCTTTTAAAGCTTCCAATGAGCCGCCAAGTTTGGGAACTTCTGGCCTATTCCCATCAGGGCTGAGTGGTGGGCCCAGGGCTTGGCAGGGCCTCTCTGGCAAGCTGTCGAGCAGAGCAGTGGTCCAAGAGAGGAGAGAGAACAGAATCTTCACCCAGCACCTGGGACCTCTACCTACCACCACCACTATTTTTTTTTTAAGATTTTATTTATTTATTTGACAGAGATCACAAGTAGGTAGAGAGGCAGGCAGAGAGAGGAAGGGAAGCAGGCTTCCTGCTGACCAGAGAGCCCGATGCGGGGCTCGATCCCAGGACTCTGGGATCATGACCTGAGCGGAAGGCAGAGGCTTTAACCCACTGAGCCACCCAAGCGCCCCCACCACCACTACTGAAGAGATTAGCAGAGTAGTCTGAAGTCAGACAGACATGAAGTCAGATCCTGGCTTGGCCTCTTATGAACCATGGGACCTTGAGTAAGTCGAATGAGCTCTAGAGCCTTAACAGTAAATTGGGGGGAAAGAAAACCCACTAGGAGTGTGGCTTGAGGACTCACTGGAATTGTCATTACCCACCTTCCTCCCAGGAAGTGAACCGTTCAGCTGCCAGAACTGTGAGGCAGTGGCTGGGTGCTCGTCGGGGCTGGACCCCTTGGCTCCCGGGGATGAGGACAAGCCCTACAAATGTCAGCTCTGCCGGTCTGCCTTCCGCTACAAAGGCAACCTGGCCAGTCACCGCACGGTGCACACAGGTAAGGGAGGAGAGGGTCCTGGCCTTCGTGCCCGCGGGCGTCCTAGGGCCGAGTCCCTGACCTCCAGGCCTCCCTGCCCTCAGGGGAGAAGCCCTACCACTGTTCCATCTGCGGAGCCCGCTTTAACCGGCCGGCCAACCTGAAGACGCACAGCCGCATCCATTCGGGAGAGAAGCCCTACAAGTGTGAGACCTGCGGCTCGCGCTTCGTGCAGGTGCGGGGCGCGTCTGGGAGCCGGCTCCGGGCAGATCTGCCAGAGGGCGGGGCGTGCCGTCGGGGACGGGGGTGTGCCTCCCGGACGCGCGGTCTGAGGTCCCCCTGCCTTCCCAGGTAGCGCATCTGCGCGCGCACGTGCTGATCCACACCGGGGAGAAGCCCTATCCTTGCCCTACCTGCGGCACTCGCTTCCGCCACCTACAAACCCTCAAGAGCCACGTTCGCATCCACACGGGGGAGAAGCCCTACCACGTGAGTGCCGAATCTGGCCTGGCGCTTACCTGGGGGCGGGGCTCTGGGAGGAGCGGGCCTGGGGTTCCCGGAGCTCTCCGAAGTGGGCGGAGTCATGGAAGATAAGGGGCGGGGCCGGAGTTGGGAAGCGCGCGCGCGCGCGCAAAGAAGTTAGGCTCCGGACTGGGCGCCGTCCGCGGGGCGGAGCTAGGTATGGAAGGGGCGGGGCCTAGCTCTGCGGCCCCAGCGAGGACCTAGGGAGACGCGGGGACGGAGGATCCTCTCTCCCGCGGAGAGCTGGACGGGACCGCTGTCCCTCGGGGGTGGTTGGGGAGGGGGCGGGAGCTGACCTGGCTGTCCCCCCACAGTGCGACCCCTGTGGCCTGCATTTCCGGCACAAGAGTCAGCTGCGCCTGCATCTGCGCCAGAAGCATGGAGCGGCGACCAACACCAAAGTGCACTATCACATTTTGGGGGGGCCCTAGCTGCGCGCGCCGCCCGGATCCCACGAGCTTCCCGGACACCCGGAGAGCTGCGTGCTTGGGCGTGGGGGGCGTGCAAGGCCCCTCGGGTGTCAGAAACGGCCACCACCTTGAATTCTCGCTGGGGAGAGCAGGGGTGGCAGGTCCGCGCTCGATCTGCCTCCGTTTTGCTGGTCAAAACCTCTTCCCCACAATCCAAGTTGTTTCCGAGGAGAGAGCCAGCTGGGAGCTGCGGGTGGCGGGGCGGGCGGGCGGGAGGGGGAGGGCGGGCGGGAGGGGGAGGGCGGGTGGGAGGCTGGAGGGAACGGCCCTCCACCTGCAGCGCCCCTCTCCTTTGGTTTCTCTGTAAATATAATTTATTGAGGCCTGTGGGTGGCACCAGGGCCTTCATTCCATGGCATTTCCCACATCCCCCTTCCAGAAGTGTGATCCAAGGTGGCCTGAAGCACAAGTGTGTGGGGTCACAGCTCTGCTGGCAGAGATGAGCCCTTGGCTGTCTCCTTTGGCTTGACTGTTTCATGTGTTTGCTTGTCGTAACTTCATCTTCAGAGTTGTTTCTCCTGTCTGTGTGCTTGTCCGTGCATTGGGAATGGAGAAAGGGTCTCTCTGTGTCCTGTCCCTCCCAGTCCTAGGTCTGGAACTTTATTTCTTCTAGGGTGGCTCTGGGGACGTGTGGGGTTGTGGAATTGGGTCAGGAACCCTCTTTGGTATTCTGGGTATTGTAGGTTCTCTAGCGGGCTAGAACTGCATATAGACTCCCCTCTAGTTCCAAGACTTAGAGGACCATTTTTTGTTTTTGTTTTTGTTTTTGTTTTTGTTTTTGTCTTTGTTTGGTGAGCTGGAAATAGAGGTCTGGTCACCTCAGTTTGGCTCCACTGTGTCGATCTGCTATGCGCTGGGCTTTAGTTGAGCCCAGAATCCTCCTCCGGGGCCTGTTCTCAGCACTGGGTTGATCCCTTCCTTATCAGAGATGACACAGCCTTTTCTGATTCTGCCCAGACTCAAAGAATGCTATGATCTATGGGAGAATTATCAAACTCTATCTTGACTAAGAGATAAAGAGCCATGACCAGTCCTTAACTGTAGAGGTGTCTGGGTTCCAATATTCCTTGGGGTTCTCTCTACCTGAGACAAGTTCCTTCTTCGTTTAGTGGGTTTTTGGACATCATCTGGCAAGTGTCCAGATTCCAGAAACTTCTTTCCCTCTAGAAATTACAGGCACCTGGTATCTTTCTTACCTTAGAAAAGCTAGGTCTGTGACCTGGCCTTCCTGTCACTGCATTCCTGTCTGGAACTGGTGAATGCACTAGAACCTTCCACAGGGAGAGAAAAGGGGCTGAGTTCCTTTCTGGATTTGCTGTAGTTTGTGATTATGATTGGGATTACTGTTGGGATTAGAGATTTACAAGATTTAGACGAGTAATGACAGGTGGTCCTTCTAGTTGACCAAGTATGTCAGGGTAGGATTAAGAGGTTGGTTGAGGGGCACAGTCTCCATTGTAGGTCAGGTAAGTAGAAAGTTGGGAATGGGGTTGCCTCTTAACTAGATGGAATGTCTGGAATGTGAGATGATACTCTGAAGCCTTCATTTACAGTCCTTCCCCTGCTGTCTTGGGACCTGTTTGATTGTGGGGTATGGATGGAGGGTAAGGAGCACTTTGAAATTTGCGAGGTGGGCTTCCACGAGCTGGGTCAGGACTAATCGCCACCACTTGAGGACCAGCGAGAAAGCAACTTTTCTTTTTCATTCCCTCTTCCTCCCCACTGCAGAATGGAAGCAGGGAGAGATCGCAACAGAGAGATATTAGAAGGAACCATGATTGATTTCTTTTTTCCCCCAATTGGATGGGCAGGTGGAGGTCGCTCGTAGGGGTGGAAATGTTAGATCTTGCAAGATCTGAATCTTGGAATAAAGATGACTCTCTGTGCTGCCTACTGTGTCCCGGGTTCTTGCCTGGGAGGATCTGGGAATGGGGTGAAACGGGGCCGGGGGTGGGGGGGGTAGGGTTCTTCCCTCCTAGATTCCGTCTCGTGTTCTGTGCTGATTCGACCGCCCCATCCCATCAGACACTTCAAATGGCCCTTGTTCTCCCCTGCCCTGCCCTTGCCTTCCAGCTCATTGTGTAGGAACCGGTGACTTCATGAAGTTTCTCCGGAGCCACCTGCATCCTGCGGCTCTGAAGTCACTTCCTGCCCGAGGTGTGGAGGCAGCAGGGAGAAACCAGGAAGCCACTAATAATACCAGGAGCCTGGGGGATGCATCCGTGCAGGGATCTGAATGCTTGGGACACCCCCTGCAACACCACCACTAGCACCCCCCCCCAAGGAAAATGGACAGGACTTGGGTCCCCTGAGGACAGAAGAGCATGCAGATGGCAGAGAGAAGGTGAAGCCTGTGGTCAGGCCCCTCTGCCCCTCCCCCCCAGGCCCTTCTGCCCCTCCCCCAGCAATGGGGCCTTGGAATCTACCCAGCGCCCAGGCAGTGCTTCTCTCCCACTCTTTCCCTGTCCCGTTGTGTCCTGGGTGTGCAGCTCTGTTTTGCCGGGGGCAGAGGGTCACAATTTTGTTAAGTTCCCTCCCTTTTCGGACTTGAAATTCCTCATCTGGGGGATAAGTCCATTAACGTGGTCTTCAGTTCCTGCCCACATTTACAGTGTGGGGTTTCATTTCTCCATCTTAAAACTCATGACCTAGATTAGAGCTATTTCTAAGTAAAACATAAAACAAAAAGCCTACACTAAAACCTCCCTCCCCACCCGGACCCCGGCCACTTCAGCTTATGCCCCGTTGAAAATGAAACCAGCTAATATTACTTAACCCGCAGTACCCATCAGGTCCTAAACTAAGCATTCTTGTGCATGGCCTTTTGAATTCCGCTCCCCTGATAACCCTCAAGAGTAGGTACCATTATTATCCCCAATTTACAGTCGGAAAACCAACTGAGAGGCTCGACATCTTGGTGATCCTATGTCTTCTGTGTACTTAGTGTCCCTGAATACAGCCACATTGACAGCCTCGTCTTGGCCTATTTCCCACCACCCAACATGTTGACCCCACTTAACAAAGTTTGGGGGGGGTATGATAATTTTTATTTCCCACATATAAAATTATAGGGCTCAATATGCTTCTTTAAAATTACACAGCCCAGGGGTGCCTGGGTGGCTCAGTTGGTTACGCCCCAGAGATGTCATCTCAGCTCTGGTCATGATCTCAGGATGGTGAGAGAGAGAGAGCCCCATGTCAGGCTCTACACTCTGCAAGGAGCCTGCTTAAGACTCTCTCTGCCCCCAGGTCCCTCCCTAGGTACCCCCCCCCAACTTTCGAGTGCACATGCACACTCTCTGTAAACAAACAGACAAAAAAACAGCCTCCCATTTGTCACTTGTCTGGATATGAGCCCTTGAGCCCAAGTTGCAAGGTCAAGGTCCTGGGGGGCAGGAATTATAAGGAAGAAACAAAGCCAAGCCATTAGTGTTATGTAAAGTGGAGAGACTGGATACTGGTTGAATAGGAGGGGCTGACCACCCCGTGATAAGAGCGTCCCTCTTTCGACAACTCCCTCAGGAGATCAGAACCTGCTGTTAGGAAATAGTTTTACCAGAGGGCTGAGGAAAAGGTTTCAGCCCCACTGAGGAAGGGGTGTAGTGGTGCTGGGAGGCCCTGAGTGTGTCCACGGCCGCCCTTCCTCTCCCGAGTTATTTTTGGTCTCTGTGACTTGTAGATTTCCTGTTAGCGAGGACAGAAGCAACAGGAACCGAGTCGCCACTGCAGACACAAGTGCCCGCAGTCCAACAGTCCGTTTCCCCGTCTCTTCCTCGGCCCCAGAGCCCCTCAGAGATCCGGGCATCGGGGTTCTAGTGTGCCCGGGCGCTGGGACAGGTATTTCGTTTGAGTCTCAGGGCAGAACCCCTACACTCACCCCGACCTGACCTTGCCACTGGGCCCCTCATTTAGCAAGTTGGTGTCCTCCTCTCCTGAACCGGTTTACCCCCCCACACACACACCCCCAACCCCATGAGCTCCCTCCGTGAGGGTCTTGGTGCGGTATCCTGGACTGATCCGCTGGTGAGGTGGACGGGAGACGCAACAGCCTCCGAGCAGGTCCCTCCGTCACGCGGGGCCCATCGAGTCGGCCTCCCACGGGCCCCCTCCTGACGCATGCGCCCCACTCACTGTCCGGGTCCAGAACCGAGCTCTAAGCCCCGCCCTGCCCTCCTGGCTCCACCCCCCCGGCTCCGGGGGGTCCCGCTTCCCCACTGGCCAGCGGTGGACAGGCATGACGGCCGGGACTGGCAGGTAGCTGATGACCTCAGGGATCGCAGCGATAAGGCAGAGGGATAACCCGCACCGAGGCTGGCGCTCTGCAGAACCGGCGCCCAACCCCAGGGCCGCCTCCCGGCTCCAGGCTGAACGTCTGGGCCCCGCCCGGGCCCGTCCCGCCCAGGCCTCCACCCGCTGCGCGCGGCCCACGGAGCCCCGCCCCCGGGAGCCGCTGGCGCGGAGGCCGCCGGCTCTTCCCACCTAGGCTGCCCGGCCCGGGGAGAGGCGCAGGCGTCCGCCGCAGCCTCCCTGCCTCCCGGGCTCATCGGTGCCTTCCTCTGCAGCGGCAGCAGCCTGGCCTCCGCCGCGCGGCTGGGTGGCCCGGGGGGCAGAGGTGGGGGGGTCCCGCGCCCTGCTCCCAACCGGGCTGCGCGGAGTGGCGGCAGCCCGGTGCCCTCGCCTATGGCGCCTAGGGCCGAGCCCCCCGACGGGGGCTGGGGGTGGATGGTGGTGCTCTCCGCGTTCTTCCAGTCGGCGCTGGTGTTCGGGGTGCTCCGCTCCTTCGGCGTCTTCTTCGTGGAGCTGGTGGCGGCGTTTGAAGAGCAGGCGGCGCGGGTCTCCTGGGTCGCCTCCATAGGGATCGCCGTGCAGCAGTTCGGCAGTGAGTGCCGCGCCCGGGTCCGCCTCGCTCCGTGGGACCGGGAGGGGGATGCGGGCCCGCTGGGGAGGAAAGGGCGGGGCTGGGGAGGCTACTGGCCAAGGACGCTGGAGAGATCCTCGCACGACTGTCTTCCTCTTTCTCAGGTCCCGTGGGCAGTGCCCTGAGCACGAAATACGGGCCCAGGCCCGTGGTGATGGCAGGGGGCATCTTGGCTGCGTCGGGAATGCTGCTCGCCTCCCTTGCTACCTCCTTGACCCACCTGTACCTCAGTATCGGGCTGCTCTCAGGTGAGACCCTGGACAAGGGCAGGAGAGGCCAGCTGCCTCTGGACTTTCACCTTCTTCCTGCCAGCTCTAAGTTGCTAAGGAGGAGCCGATGGAAGGTTTTGGCGAGCGCCTGTGCCCAGAAGGGAAGGACGTCTTGAGAGCGTTGACTAAAGTGATCAGCGTGTGCAGGGATATTGAGAAATTCAGAGATGTTGAGGCCAGAATTTGCAAGCCCGGGGCTGGTGGGGCTGGAGTGTCAGAGGGCAATGACCATGAAGTTGTGCCAGGCACCGTGGCTGCAGAGTAGATGCCATAATCCTAGTTTACAAACAAAGAAAGGTTCTCGAAGCTTGTATAACTTGGCAGATGGAGATCACACAGCCAGAAGTGGTATAGCCCGAGGTATAGATCCGAAGTTGGGATCTAGTTACTGTGCATGCAGTATTTCTAAGCCTCCACAGTCCCATTGGGTGTCTTACGCCTGTCTTGCAGAAGAGGAGACCGAGGCTGGGAGAGGAAATAAAATACACAGGGTCATACTGCTTGAAAACAAGGCCTGTGCTACCGTGGTGGGATTACCCAGTGCCCTGGAAGCCCTTAGAGTCCCCCAACCCCTCTCTCTTCCTTTTTGACAGGCTCTGGCTGGGCCTTGACCTTCACTCCGACCCTGGCTTGCCTGTCCCGTTACTTCTCTCGACGGCGATCCCTGGCCACAGGGCTGGCACTGACTGGTGTGGGCCTCTCTTCCTTTGCCTTTGCCCCACTTTTCCAGTGGCTGGTCAGCCGCTATGCCTGGAGGGGGGCTCTACTGCTGGTGTCTGCCCTGTCCTTGCACCTGGTGGCCTGTGGTGCTCTCCTCCGCCCGCTCTCCCTGAGGGAGGACCCTATTGTGGGCGGCCCTGCAGCCCAGCTCACCTCCCTGCTGCATCACGGCCCCTTCCTCCGTTATACGGCTGCCATAACGCTCATCAACACTGGCTACTTCATTCCCTATGTGCACCTGCTGGCCCACCTCCAGGACCTGGATTGGGACCCACTGTCTGCTGCCTTCCTACTCTCAGTGGTGGCTGTCTCTGACCTCGTGGGACGTGTGGTTTCTGGGTGGCTAGGAGATGCGGTCCCAGGACCCGTGGCACGAATGCTGATGCTCTGGACTGCCCTGACGGGGGTGTCCCTGGCCCTGTTCCCTGTGGCTCGTGCTCCCACGGCCCTAATGACTCTGGCCGTGGCCTACGGCTTCACATCAGGGGCCCTGACCCCGGTGGCCTTCTCCGTGTTGCCTGAACTGGTGGGGACTGGAAGGATATACTGTGCCCTGGGACTGGTGCAGATGGTTGAGAGCATTGGGGGACTGCTGGGGGCTCCCCTGTCAGGTAAGGAGGATTGGGTTTCCCGGGGGGGGGGGTGCCTCATAGCCATGTCATGCAATTTGGGGAGGGGACTAGTGACGTTATAATGTGCATGAATATTGTCCTTGGGGATGGCACAGAACACGGCCTCCATGGCCAATCTGAGCAGCCCCGAAGTGGGTCCGGGGGCAAGGAAATGGGGGCCGTGGAAAGACTCTGAGGAGCTATGAGGACCCCGTGGCCGGGTATCTAAAGCTTGGGTGCTCAGTGGACCTGGCTGGACCCAGCCAGATGTAGCCTGCAGGTGTCTGGCCCTTCCCTTGGCCTACTGGCCCCCCGCCAGCTGTCTGAGCTGTCGGGTCAAAGTTCTCCATGACCCAGATGCCAAAACCTTCAGACCCTTAACTTTCTCCTCTTAACTATTAACTGAAAGTGTAGACAGGAGGGCCACAGTTGCTTGAAAGAAAGGCGCAGGTGCGCCAGCCCCGTCTGGATACCCAAGTCTCTGCTGGCTGGCTTGGAGGCCCTTCCTGAAGGCAGGAAGGAGGTTGAAATTTCCCTCCAAAAATGACATGTAGAAACCTTGGGACGCCGGAGTTCTCGAGCTCATCCCGTCCTGTCTAAGTGAGTTCGAACTCTTCCAAGATGACGGGCTCAGGAGTACGCTCTTCCCTTCATCAGTCTCAGGAAGTGGGGTGCCCATGTGTGTTCTTTTTCTCTCTTGGACCTAGGCTACCTCCGGGATGTGACAGGCGACTACACAGTTTCTTTCGTGGTGGCCGGGGCCTTCCTTCTGGTGGGAAGTGGCATACTCATCACTCTGCCTCACTTCTGCTCCCCGGCCTCTGCCTCTAAGCCCCGGGACCTTGTCACAGAGGGAGTGGACACCACAGTCTCTGGGACCAGGGATGGGCTGGGAGAGGACTGAACTGCACAAAGGGGCTCTCAGACCAAGAGGCCAGAGCTCGGCAGCTCCAGATTCTCCTCCTCTGGCCCATCCTGGTGCCCACAGAACCACACTGCCTTAAGCATCTTGATCGGCTCCCCCACAGGGCAGGCCTGGGGTGGGCGGTGGTCCTACATGGTGTGCGCCAACCCCCTAGTATTTTGCTGAGGACTCTCATCTCTTCTTTGCTCCCACAACCTTTACGGAAGGATCCAGGAGCTCAGCCTGCTCCCTGGAGCTGTGAATCAGCTGTGACAACCAAAGGCTAAGAGACTTAATGTGTTTTACATGTGTCTCTAGTGTCGCCCACCAGCTTCCTTCTCTGCGGGCAGGTGCTTGGGAAAGGGGGATGCCCTTTTGAGATAAAACTGAATAAGGAAACGGGGTGATCGTCAGAACCTCAAAAAGACCTGGGGCCTGTATGCTTGGGTTGGCCGAGTGGGTTCGTGGTTAAGAAGTGGAGGGAAGGTCTCCACTTTAACCCTGGACTCTGCTGTCTGGACCACACCCCCTCTGTCTTGCCCGCAGACCTCCCCTTTCCTACTGTCTCCTGAGACTTGGAGGACAGTGGTGAGGACACGGGGATGGGAGGGTGGCTTGGGAGAAGGAGCTGCTACAGTGAGAGCTGAAGTCCCATCCAGCATTTCCCTCGGGCCAGGGGAAGGAGCCTGAAATGCAGGGAGGGGTTAGCTGGGGGGTCCGGATGGGGCAGATGGCCCCCTTCCTCCTGAGCCCTCACCCCAGCACACTGAAGCTGACAGGTAGGCAACTTCTCTGAGCTTCCCTGTGTTTTTATTGTTTTTTGAGAGAGAGAAAAAAAGAGTGACAGTGGAAGAGGGGCAGAGGGAGAGAGAGAGATGGAGAATCTTAAGCACGCCTCATGCCCCGCAGGGAGCCCACTGTGGGGGGGGGGGGTTAATCTCAGGACCCTGAGATCATGACCCTGAGATCATGACTTGAGCTGATGTCAAGAGTCAGAGGCTTAACTGATCGAGCCCCCCAGGGCCCCCTTGAATATCTTACATAGAAGGAATGTTTTCAGCCTCCCAGATTGGCTAACAGTTGGAACTTGCAGGAAACTGGATAGAAATTCTTTGCTGGGGGTGGGGCTCCAACTCGTGGTCAACAAGCAGTGTCCAGAGCGGACTGGGGGCCTCCAGGGGAAAGCAGGGCGACTTGAGGAGCGGGGAGCAGCTCCCCCCTCTCGGGGGGAGGCGTGGCCGGCCGGGAGGCTGGCCGGCAGGAGGGCAGCGCCCCGGGCAGCCCCATGTAGATGAAGCTGCCGGAGAGGATAAAAGAGCCGCACGCGAGGAATGAGGCGGTGAAATCTCCCGTCTCGTCCCTTAGGAAGCCTGTGAGGAAGGGGAAAGGAATTTAGGAGCTTGGGATCCCGGGGCAGAGGACGGTTGCGAGCAGATCTGTTCGCTCGGACCCTTACCTGACAGCGGAGGGCCCAGAAGCCCCCCGAGGCTCATCAGCATCATCACCAGCCCTGTGGCCTGGACCACGCCTCTGACGCCCACCAGCCCCGGGAGCACTCCGAACACCAAGGGCGCGTAACTTCCCACGCTGAGCCCGTAGGCCCCGGCCGCGACCAGCAGGGCCCCCTCGCAGCCCTCCTGGCTGCCCACCAAGGGCACCAGCCCCACGGCCAGCAGCCCCAGCCCGGTCAGGGCCCCGAACACCGCCAGCAGCCGCGAAAGGGGCACCCAGCCCTGGTCTGCCAGCCACCCGCTGATGAACCGCGCGCCCGCATCCCCCACCGCAGCCACCGCCAGCACCAACGCCGCCCCATACCCGCCCAGGCCCAGGTCTAAAGCGTGAGGGGCCAAGTGCACGTAGGGGACGAAGTAGCCGCCCCCGACCAGGGCTGTGCCCAGGGCGAACACCAAGAAGGCCCGGCGCGCGAAGAGGTCCAGGCCGAGGGCGGCTAAGGGCCCGCGGGGTGGGGCCGGGGGGTCGTCAGGGAGCACCAGGGGTCGCAGGAGGGCGCCACAGGGGGCGAGGTGGAGGGTGACGGCGCCGAGGAGGAGCAGGGCGCCCCGCCACCCGAAAGAATCGAGGAGGAGCTGCAGGGTGGGCGCCAGCAGCAGCGAGGAGGCCCCGTTGCCCGTGAGGGCCAGCCCCACGGCCAGGACTCGACGGCGGGAGAAGTAACGGGACAGGGTCCCGAGCGCCGGGGCGAACACCAGCGCCCAGCCAGAGCCTGCGGACGGACGGGACCAGGTGAGGACCGGGACCCGGAAAGCGGGCTCCGGCGATCCCGGCCCCGCCCCTCCGAGGCCCCGCCCATCACGGAGGCCCCACCCGTCGCGGGAGGCCCCGCCCCTCCGGAGGCCCCGCCCCCTCGGGCCTCCAGCCCCCAAGAAGCGCCCCTCTCCGGCATCACCCCTTGGGGGACCCGGTACCCGTCTCCCCTCACCGGCAAGGACGCCCAGGCCCAGGTAGAGGTGCAGCAGACTGCGGGCGAACGCCGAGAAGACGAAGCCCAGCGAGGTGAGGACGCCCCCGACCATCACCACGGGGCGCGCACCCCAGCGGGTGCTCAGGGCGCTGCCCACTGGGCCTGGAAGGGGGCGGAGTCAACGGAAGACACGCCTCTGCGCCCCAAACTTGATCCAACACTTCTCCTTGGAGGCTGGCCAGGCCTAAAACGTCTCCCCCAACCTAAGAGCTCCTCCCCTTGACCTCGAGACCCCCGTTTTCTGGGACTCGGTCCCACCGGGCGCCCTTTCCCAGGGAGTCCGGTCATCAGGTTGGTCATCCATCTCCGCCAATCCACCCGGGTTCCCGCCTCCCGCCTCAGGGCCCTCCTCACTGGCTGCCTGCTGCACCGCCAGGGCCAGGGCGCTGACCCACGCAGTGTCTTGAGTGCTTCGGTCAAAGTGCTCCGCGAGGTCAGGGAGGGCAAGGCCCAGCGAGCGTAACAGCCCGTAGGAGAGCCCATTCACCGCGAAGGCTGCGGCCGCCACCACCCAGCCCCAGCCCCCGTCCGGGGGTCCGGCCGGCTTGGGAGTCATCGCCGTCTGGGGAAGGGGGAACACACCACGTCTGTGCCTCCTCTAGGGTCCTGGGTATCCCTGAGATCCGGGTTCCGGCGGTTGGCCCGGGGTGGGCACGTCCCCGGGGCACGGTAGGGCGGGGCGGAAGGAGGGGGAGCTAGGCCTAGGGATACATCTCCAGGGTGCGCGCGAGCTCCCAGGCCCGGGTGACAGCCGGATCCCCCGGGCCTAGGACTCCCCCTCCCACACGCGTCCCTTCCCCCTTACCCGACCTCTCCGGGCGGTGGGGGGAGGGGAAGGACAAGGAGCAGCTGGGCCCGGTGTCCTCCCCGCTTGCTGCGCGGGCGGGGCCCCCGAGGGGAGTGAGCGCCGAGATGGAGCCCCACCTGGACCGGCTCTCTCGGTAAACAGAGATCGCCACTGGGGGCCTGTGCCGCCTGGGACGCGGGGATGCGGAGGGCGGGGAGCTGACACCGTCAGCCAATCAGTCGAGCCGCGGGTGAGGCCAGACTCTGAGTCCCACGGGGATTGAATTATACACACGCACACGCGCACACGCACACACACACACACACACACACACACAGCCCCGCGGAGGGAGAGGCGGCGGGGGGCGGGGGGTGAATGCAGGCGGCCCCTCCCGGCTCAAGTGCACGCACCTGCCGCTTGCTGCTCGCGGAGGAGACGCGGGGATCGCAATCCCCAGGAAACCCAGGGCCCGCAGGCAACAGTTGGAAAGAGGGGTGACCCCCCCCAAAGCCTGCCGCGAGGAGTAATTTTGTTATCACGGAACTTTGCTGGGGGACCAGGTCATTCTCGGGTATCGAATCGCTGACCTCCACCCCGGGCTTGTTCCTTGCTCAGCAATAACCGGCCGTCCAGGACAGACCGGGAAGAGGGCTCCCTCCGTATGAGGAGCTGGGATGTGCCAGCCATCGACCCACGTCACCTGTTCCTGCCCACGAGGAACCGCTCAAGAAGGTGTCCTGCCCATTTTCCAGATGAAGTCAGAAGGAATAGAGAGGTTAGATGCCTTGTCCCCAAAGCACCGAGGTTAAAGATGGTGAAGACATATGAATTTGGGTCTGTCCCACTGCGGAAGGTACAGGGAGACCAGACCCAGCAGGGAAACAGAATGCCCCCCACCCCCGGAGGAAATGGCCTGGGCACAGTGTGATACCTCACTGGCCTGGAAGGATCCCTGGGATTGGAATCGCTGAACACTTAGATTCAGCGTTGTAGAACAAGGTGGGAAATCCGGGATCGCACCCAGGCACTGGCTTCTTGAAGAAGTTGATTTGAAAGCACAGTTTCCACATTCGGAAGGCTTTACTTGAGCTGTTTGAGTAAGAGTGTTCTCGGGTTCAGCGATGACAATATCAGAGAATTTGACGGTGTGCGGCTGGGAGCCACGCGGTGGCAGTGTTTCCTAGTCGTTGAGAGCGCCTCTGCGAATGGGGGGGGGGCGGGAAACAGCCCATTTCTCTCCTTTGGCGATTAGGCCTTTCACCGCGGAAGGAACACTCCCTCCCCATTACACACACACACACACACACACACACACACACACACACACACACACACACACACACACACACACACACACACAAAGTCTCTGTCCCGAGTCCTTCCGCCAGCCTCAGCCAAAAACACCTCTCCTGCTCCAAGGACATGCCTAGCTTTTTCTCACTCCTGAATTTGTGCATCTGCTGTCCCCTCTCCCTGCAATGTCCTGGATGGGGAACAGGTGTCCTTGAAGGTAGCCGGTCCTGCCGTGGATGCCCTAGGAGAGTGGTCTCACTTGTTTCCCCCGCCTGGGCTGCTGTTGTGGGAGACAGCCGGCAGGGGAAGCTGGCCAGTCCTCAGCCACCGGGCGTGGAGAAGGAAGCCTACTTCCTGAGCCTGCAGCTGAGAACTCTGAAGCGAGCAGCCCCCCTCCCTGCCCCCGACCCCCAAACAGATCACACCCACAGCCAAAGAGGAAACTGGACCCCCTGTGTCTGGGAGTTGTACAAAGTAACGCTGGGCACCTTCTTATGAACCCAGAGGGCATCCCAGAACCTGGGACCAGGATGGTTGGTCGTCAAAGGGCACGGTCCTCCTATGCCTCATGCTTAGTACTCAGCCAAAACGACCATTACGGCTCCAACACAGCAGTGAGGCTGGGGGAACGCGCTCCTGAGCTCGACTCTCTGGGTTTCGCTCCCAGCTGTCACTTACCCTCCGTAGGGTTGTGAGCAAGTTACGTGCCTCACCTTCCTCATCTCTGAAATGGGCTCATAACAGCAGCACCACAAATGCGGGACCTAGCACAGGGCCTGCAATGCTGTGTGTGTCGCTCCCTTTTCTGGAATTGTCGGACGACCTGGCTGGACCCTCCAGCGCCCCGTACCCGCCCCCCACCTGGCCACTTCGATTACTGCCTTGACGGCAAAGAACCACGTGGGTCTGGTGAGTTCCCAGTAGAACAACACAGGTTACGAGATGTGACTGGCAACAAAAAGAGGTGGAGTTAATTTTTCTTCTTTATGATGAGTGGCTTTCTGAGCGTTTTCCAAAGTTGGTGAGAAAATGCTAGCATCCCTATCTGGGCTCCAAAGACAAAAAAGAAAGGCGTCAGAATAAGTTTTGTTCATTTGCTCCTTCAAATAAAGTATTTTTAGATGCCTCACCATTGCTGGAAGCTATGCTCAGGGCTGAGGAAATGACTATGAATGATCCTGCCTCTCCCCTCCGAGCCCCCACCATTAGATTAGGGGAAAGGTGAAATGCAGAGAGCCCCACACAAGGACGGGGACAGACACCGCTGCATGGAGGAGCTGACTCATTCCTCTGGGGCCTGCTGGGAAGGCTTCACAGAAGAGGAGCCCTTTACGTGGGGTCTTGAAGGATGAGTAGGAGTTTGCCAGATGGTTGCGTGGGCAGGGGCATTCCAGGCAAAGGGAGAAGCTTATGGAAAATCACAAAGGCACCAACCAGCTTGACATACTCTTTATTGTTTGGGGAGCTACGAAGAGCAGCTCTGTGGGGATGAGAGAGGGCATAGGAGGGTGGCATAGGGCAGAGGCTCCCGTCGTCACGGGTGTTGAAGGCCAGGCTAAGGAATTTAGATGTTTCTCCAGAGCCTGATGGTTCTCAAAAATTTCCACTGATGTAGTGTTCACTAGTATTCCGTAATATTTGATGCTGAACACAGAGGGTAAGGATTCACACCGGTCAGCAAGGGGCAGTGGGGGGTGGCAGGAGAGTCTGGGGTTAGACAGCTTTTCTCGATGTGAGAAATTTCTTTGAAACATCTTGTTTTACATTGAAAATTCATCTGGAAGTTTGCATCCTACTTCATTCTACTTTCTAATCTTTTTTATTTTTTTAAGTTTAATTTATTTACATAATCTCTATATCCAACACGGGGCTCAAACTCACGACACGGAGATCGCGAGTCTCACGCGCTTCCCGCGGAGCCAAGCGGGCACCCCTCTACTTCATGATCTTTGATGCGTAGGAAAATAATGTTTTAAATAACTACATAAATTATTTCCATTTTTCTGCCCAGGTCCCCACAGGAGGTGGGGGGTGGGACTCCCCCTGCGAGAAGTCATGCCCCATCCCCACCCACTGCCCCCCCTTACCCCTCTGGGAGCCCTCTCAGCCTGCAGGGACACCATCCGTCTTTGCCTTCTGTCCCTCGTCCCCACATAGCCCTGGAGGTGGAACCTTGTGGAACTGATCTCTGGGCAAAACTGGCTGAGACAGAATTGAGCCGGAGATTGGCAGACTGAGCAGACCCAGGGCCTGGTACTCCAGGGATGGGCCGGGATACTACAGAACTGTTCGGAGGCACTGGACTGCTAGTGGCTACCCACAGGGAGAAAGCTCCAGAAGCAGATGCTGGACCAGCTCAGGTCTCTAGGGAGATCAGAAGAGAGGTCAAACTCTGTCCATAATTTGCTTTGGGGACCCAGGGATGTGTGAGTGTGTCGCTGTCCGTGAGCTCTAAAATTGCTTTGGGACTTTTTCTTGGGAGCCCCTGCAGGAGGTCTTCAGCGGGGGAGGCCCTGAGCTGGGCCTGGCTATTCCTGGGGCCCACCTGCTAGGGGATGGGAGGTATACCCTCTGCAGAAGGTAGATGGGAAGGAAGGGGAAAGGGAAGGGAAAATGGCTCTACTTGAGGTACACAAAAATAGGAGGCTTTCCAGAGTTTGGCCCAGCTGACCTTGGGCTTCTATGTGCCCAATTAAGGGGCCTCTTAGCCCTCACCCCCAAAGTCTCCTTCTTCTTCAGCTCACCCAGAGACAAGGCTTTGGGAAGTCAGCAGAGACCTCCAGGGCCAGACCCTGGAAAAATGGAAGGAAACCGGGCACAAAGGTCGGATGTGTGTTTTGGGGTCCGGGAAGCAGAGATGCTGAGATGCTCTGGGAGGAGGAGGGGGTGGGGACGAGGTTCGGGAGAAAGGAACCCACTCAGGGCAGTGGGGCTCACTGCGTGCAGGGAACAAGTCTGCCTGGGTGACCACATAGGAATGAAGATCCGAGCCGGGTCCCCTGAACAGTGTCAGGGGACTGGGACAGGGTGAGGAGTTTGCTGAGTCTGCAGCTGGGGGAACCTGGTGATGGGGTCACAGGGCTGAGGCTAGAGCCGGGCTGGAGCTAGGACCTGGGCTGGGCTGCACCGGCCTGGGAGTCCGACCCCACTCCTTACTCTGCACTTACTCCCCCTACCAAGTTTGCCTCCTGTGCCTCTTCCAGGCCCCTTGCCACCACCCCCACCTCCCAAGACCCCTCCCCAAGGTCTGCAGTCTATGGCTGCTGGAACTCTCCCGACAGCCCAGTTTCCAAGGACGAGGATCAGGATGGCGGGAGCCCCCAGCAAAAGGCTCTGGGCCTGGGCCGTGTGCCTAAATACCCAAACGTGTCTGATCTGGCATCTTCGGGGACTTTGGCTAACGTCTGTGTCAAAATTCTGAATTACAGGCTGTGGGCACCAACTGTGACTTACTGAGGGACAGAAATGATGGATTCCAGGATGCTAGGCAG